TTATTTGGAGATAAATATCTGATAGCCTTTTCTGTCTAGGCTGGCTTTGAACAATCTTCAGATATCATTCAGCTTCCTAAGTAGCTAAGATTACAGGTGTGAGCCACCAGCACTTGGCTGGAATAATTTTTGAATGGTTTTGAAGTACCTACCAAACTTCCCAATGTATTTACCTGAGAGAGAGCAAGGTAAAATTGTGTTCAGCTCATAAACAGCTTATGCCTGGGAAAAGGGTTTACTTTTTGTTCTCTGTTTTGTTTTTGGTATGTTTATCAGATAAATTATAACCCATTGGAAATTTTGATTTTCTGGTCTATTTGGTGAAATGTATAAGTGGATTGATGGTTTTCGATGTCATATCCCTTTTGGGTGGAAAATGACAAAGGCTTTGCTTTATCAGTATTTTGCTTTTGTCCACTCTGTTCAAGCTCAAATCAAATGAGAATTACTATCTACTGGAAAGAGAATATTTCTTTGATATGGACCACTGAGTTTTGTGTTTACTCTCAATTGTGACTGAAAGTTTACAATTTAAACTATAAATTTTACCCAAATTACATTGACTTTCTATCATTCATAGACTTTACCTCTGATTGTGTAAGAAATGGAATATTTTCTACCTCCAGAAGGTGCTGTGTCAATTGTAAAAATCTCTCTTTTAAAAATTGTGAAGTCGGGGCTGGGAAGGTGGCTCAGTGGTAGAGTGCTTGCCTTGCATGCTCAAGACCCTGGGTTCGATTCCTCAGCACCACATAAGCAAACAGAAAAAAGCCGGAAGTGGCGCTGTGGCTCAAGTGGTAGAGCGCTAGCCTTGAGCTGAAGAGCTGAGGGACAGCGCCCAGCCCAGAGTTCAGGCCCCACGACCGGACCCCCCCAAAAAAAATGTGAAGTCTTTTTGTTTTTATATTTTTTTTGTCAGTGGGGCTTAAACTCTGGGCTTGAGCACTGTCCCTGAGCTCTTCAGCTCAAGGTGAGCACTTTACCACTTGAGCCACAGAACCACTTCCGGTTTTCTGGTGGTTAATTGGAGATGGTGCTCCAATTAACCACCAGAATACCAGTTGAGCCACAGCAACACTTCCGGTTTTCTGGTGGTTAAATTAACCTGGCTTTCTACCTCTCAGGGTTGCATGTTGGTGGAGCCTGGGGCACTCACACATCCAGAGATCTCATCCATACAACTGGAAGTCCTGGGGGCTAGAGACAGTTTTCTCTCACATTCTGTATTGGCAGGAATGGGGAAACATAATTTCTCCATAGAAGTAAACTCCAGGCTTTGGTTACATGCATTCCTGAGCAGTCTTTGGAAATTCAGACTCAATGATCAGACTCTTGTTAGCATTCTACTTTGGGGGGAATTTTTGTTTTTTTCTCGAACTGGGCACAGCTGACTCACACCTGTAATCCTAGCTACTCAGGAGGCTGGGTGCCGAGGATCATGGTTCAAAGCCAGTCCAGAAAGTCTGAGAGACTTTTATCTCCAATAAATTATTCAGAAAAAGCCAGAAGTGGTGCTGTGGCTCAAGTGGTAGAGCATAAGCCTTGAGCACAAAGAGGCTCAGGGATTGGGCCCAGGTCTTGAGTTCAAGCCTCAGGATCAGCAGAAAAAAATAGAAGAAAAGAAAAGAAAAAAAATTCTCAGTTTGGTGCTGTTGGTTTACACCTGTAATCCTAGCTACTCAGGGGGCTGAGAACTGAGGATTGTGGTTCAAAGTCTGTGAAACTCTTATCTCCAATTAACCACCAGAAAACCAGTAGTGGTGCTGTGGCTCAAGTAG